CCCCCAACACTTAGGGGACATCAGACTCATTTGAGTATAATTCTCTCCTCTCCTCTCAAAGCTTGTAATCATGTGTTCTCCCTCCACACTGGAGATAATAAAATTTCGACGAACCTAGTCATTCAAAGTGGACGTAGGTCGTATTGACCGAACTACTATAAATCTTGTCTTCTCTCCCTTCTACTTACTGCATTTTATACTATAACTTGACTAGTGGTGTGCAAATTAATTTGTGCATCATCAATTATCATATACAATCTACAAAAATTCAAGATGACTCACTCAAGTTATTTTTTCTTAGCATGGTCCATAAGATTAATGTGAATGAATTTGGGATAATCCGGAGTGAAATGGAAGTGTGCGGTTTAATTGAAGCCATGGCTTCAAAATCATGAAAAATGATGAATTCAATGATTTTTGTGGTCTTCTAATATCAAATATCTATATAATAAAGTAGTTAGATTTTTTATCTTTAACATTTCGCGGCTCAGATCGCTTGAAGAAATATTGATCCGACGGTTCTAATACTAAAAGTCCTCTCCGCCCCCCCTTCAAATTTTTTGAATAAGATTTTCATTCATTCTACAATTCGAAGACTCTTATAACTCTCTATCTCTCTATCTCATACTACACATTAATTAGGTCGTTAATTATGATTCTAATTAAAGATTATTTTTAAAAATTTTAAATAAACAAATGGACCTTAAATAAATATTTTTTGCGTCAAAATGATTCGAATGACTATAATACAGGTCATATTTTGTATTGAAATAAAAATACTATAATATTCGAATTGTATAATAGGTGAATAATATATATATATATACACACTAAAGGTCTATTATTATTTGTCTTGAGTTTTTCGTGGCTCGGATTATTTTCAGATTATTGATCAAATGATCAAAGTTCCTCCTCCAAATTTTATTTTAATCGATTATCGATTTGAAGTAATTATGATTAGTGTTCGAATTTAGTTGAATTTAATTGTTGAGTAAAGTATATATTCTTAATTAAACTTAACTTTGCTTGAATTTTACAAGTATTTAAGTTGAAGCTAAAGTGAAATTGATTATAAAAATAATAAAGAATAACTAAATTAAAAAAAAAAAAGTTATGACATCACGGTAAACAAAAATAGATAAGAATTAGTTTGTAAGTTTAAGATAAAAGTGTTAATTGAGTTGAACGTAAATTCAATTTTTAATTTGACGTAATTATGATTAAGATTCGAATTGAACTGAATTTAACTGTCGTGTATAAAGTATAAATTTTTGCTAAAACTTAAAGGGTGAAAATATCTCCACCTTGAAATCTTCATTCCCACCTCATTTAATTTTTCATTATTAAATTATTAACTCTATACTTTCTATATCCACCACATACTACATACACCCCTTTTTTAAAAAAAAAACAGAACGAAATAAGGAAAAAAAAAAAAAGAAAGAAAGAAAGCAAACATAAATAAGAAGGACTAAAAAAACCAAGCAAAAATTAAATAAATAAATAAAACTACAAAGCGCGAAACCACAAGATGCAAAACCGGACCTGAAAAAAAAATATCAAGCACAAACGCAAAATTGAACAAGAAAAAAAATAAGAAACATAGATACAAAACCTAAATAAGAGTAAAAAAAACCACAAAATAATCTGAAAAGTATATATATATATATATATATATACACATATACATTCTAAATCAAAAATTATTAAACTTGATAGAGATATCAAAACATACCAAAAATAATAAAATTTATACAACAAACAAAAAATAAAATGTAGAATTAAATTGAAAAGTAATACTAACATGTATTTCACTGAAAAAATTCATATTAAAAAAAGTATTTTTGTGAGGGCATCAGATGAAATAGATAATGAAACCCTAATTATGACAAAATATAAAGTGGGTTTACTTATTAAGCGGGGTGTATGTAGCATAAGGTGAACTTAGTTACTAATGAGATAAGTATAGAAAGAGTGGGTTTAGTAGTTTAATAATAAGAAATTAAATAGTGATGAAAATAAAGATTTGTGGAGTGAAAATAGAGATTTGAACTCAAATGAAAACTGATTTTAATTACTCAGCAAAATATTTTACATTTACGATAATTTATATGAAACTTTTGGATATTTTCATCACAAAAGTTACACAAACTCACATTAGAAAAATGGTACAAAAATAATGTTATGAAATTTAGGTAGAAATCTACAGATAAATAAATAGTTATTTTTTTGAAATTTGAGATAAAATTTATTAAAAATTTTAAAATTTTGGATTTTTAACCAATAATAATTATATTTTTTCAAAATTTTGAATTAATATGTTGTCGTAGTTGTAGCGTGATTTTCGTTATATAAAAGTTTGATTATATATGCTCTGCATACAGGTTAAATAATATCAATTTGATCGTTATATTGTTGAAATTGTATTATATATTGTCTTGATTTATAAAAAAATATTTACAATTTTTTACGAATAATATAGTGTCTTCATGCACGGGTAATTATTGGTGTTTTTATAAGTTAAATGAATTTGTCTTATTTTTTTCAAGTCGGTGACTTAAAACATGTAATAGTCAAAGCTATATATCTTCTTTTCAATCCAAGATACCATGGGAAACTAAATCATGTTCACAGCAATAAAGAAAAAAAAATGGGTTCATGGAGAAACATTAGTGAAAATCAAAACTTTTCTGCATTGAAATTCTCAACTTGATTAAAAGTACAAGAAAAAAAAATCACAAATTTGACAGCGAATCTACTGAAATAATCTTTTAAGAGCATCCTCATAAGCAAATCTCTTGTTTTCGGCGTAATATACTCATTGGGCTTGAGTTTTTGATCACCGACCGTGCTTTCGTTGTTTCTCGGGACAGATTGAGTTGTCCCCATATAGATGATTACTTTGTGGTTGTGGATTGGGTTGAGACAGATTGAGACTCCCACAAAATATATACCTTGGACTTCCACAAATATGTTCCTTTTTATGGTGGAGAAGATTACCATGATTACCATCATTATGTTACGTTGGTGGACAAAGCCAGAGCAACTTTGCTTCTGTGTTCACCTCTTGTGATTGCATCTAAGGAACTGACGAGGCATACCGTTACCAAAAGAAACTCCTTCGGCAGTTGAAGGATATAAGACGTTAATCAAATCGAGTTTTACGAGTTTGAATCTGAATTTGATGAGTTTATTTTCTTAAACGAACTTATTAAAAAATTGTCCAAACTCGATTTATTTAGCAAATGAGCCAAGTCTAAATAACTCAATTATTTTATGTATAAACGAACTAAGTTTTGTGAATTTAAGCCGAGTTTTTTTAAGCTCGTCTTTGTAAACGAGTCTAAAAAATTATTTTAGCTCAACTCGTTTAAAATACGAGTCGAACTCTTGAATCGAACCCGAATAACTCATCTCAATTAACACCCCTAAGATGGATCGAAAAGCAGCGACAAACAGAATGGAGCTTAGCACATCTACTGAAGATCTTAAAAGGTGACTAGTTCAAGGACTCTAGAATTATGCTTTAGAATTCTTGTGGACCCGAGAGTTTGTTGTGGAGAAATAGTAATCCTTTTAGAAGAACTTTTGTCTTTATTTTTTATGTACGAAACAGATTGATATTGGAGATAAATATAAATTATTCAATTTTTTATTCAATTGTAAATTCTACTATCAAATTACTATTTCATTTATTTTTTTGTAATTTTTACAGTAATTTGGCAATGAGATGATAATTTCACTGTCATACAATAGTGAAATGAAGGAATATATCTATTTATTTTCATAGGACAACATATTTTTATTTTTACTTTGTTATAAGACAGTGAAAGAAGAGATTTTTGGACATTGTAATGTTTATGTCACTGTTCGGTTTCAATGAAATGACGATATTTATTTTATTGTTGTGTACTAATTTCACAGTATGAAAAATATGCCAGTAAACTAAGGAATATTTGGATTTTGAGATATTTATTTCACTATTCGGTTTCATTGAAATTCAATATTTATTTTATTGACTTTCTTGTTGTTGTGTGTATTAAAATTCTTAAAAAAAAAAATTAATTTTTTGAGTTCATTGTTTTTTATAGAAGTTTCTCAAATCAAATGAAATATCTTTACCAAGTAATTAAAATCGAATCAAGTTTATTAACTAAGCACAATTTATTTATGTTCACTATTTGAGTTCATTGTCTTTAGTTCACTGTTTTGAATGTGCGTGTGGGGGGGGGGGGGGGGGGGGGACTGGGACGAAAGATAGAGAAGAGAAACCTTAATTAAGGGTTTTTTTTTTGTCTTGATCTTATATGAGGACATGTTTGGTTCAGGTACAAATAAAAATGGAATCGGATAATTAGTTCTCATCCGATCCACAAAATGATGTCAACAAGAGTACCATTTAACATTATCTTTGTATAATAAGTTTGAGATAATATATAAATCTATAATTATAATACTAAATTTATATTTGAATTAAGTAATAAAGTATGATATTAAATAAAAAATGACAAAACAATTATTGAGAATAAGAATTTGTATAATATGTAACTTTTATATAAAAGTGTGACTCTAAGTTTGTACATATAATAAAATTATTGTATTTTCAATACGTTTAAAAAATAATACAGCTTACTACGTGCCATGCATTACTATCTAATATTAAGTATTAAATGGCAATAGTGAACCAAGTCAAGGTTAATTAAAATTAATACTGAGTTACTATAACCTCATCTAAACTTAATATTATATTATTATTAAATTAACTTAATATAATTCACCCTTTAATACCTAAACCAAACACACCCTAAACTGTTGAGAACCTAAAGCTCAAAAAATCCCCAAATGTGAAATTCTGGTCTGTTATCCCAAAATTTGTGGGTCAGTCTGACGTTATCTATTGGTTGGGGGGTTGACAATGTAATTTTCGGACTTTTCCCCTTTCACACACTTTCGACTTCAACTATATGGATCGTCACGCAAAAATCACCACCAACGGGCTCATCGAAACTCACATGCGTTTCTTCTCCTCCGCCTTTGCTCATCCACACCCTCACCCCCACCCTACCACGGGAATCGCCACCACCACCACCACCCACATTGACCCCATGTAATTAATTCCACTTCCCCCAATTTTTCCCTATATAAAAACGGGTCCGCCTCACAACATCTTCCATCTTTTCTTGAAAACCAAAGACAAGGATCTAGGGTTTTTCTGCATCAGAAAATCGGGCCCTCTCGTTTGGCTCTTCGTCTTATTGAATTGATCCGAAACTGGTAAGTTTGGTCTGGCAAATAATTTTTACGTATTGTTGACTTTGAGAATAAGGGCTACTCGCTCTCAAATTGGTTGAATACGAACAGTTTTTCTTTCGAAGTCTCTTTTGTAGGAAAACGTAGAAATTCTAGCATCTAATGGTGTCAATGATTCAATTTAAGAAATATAGCAGATATAGATGGAGGACTTTATTATATATAAATGCTGGAATATGATCTTTGAATGTGTCCGTACCATTGATGAGATGTAAAGATGTGTGTGTGTGAAAACGTAGAAATTATATCATCTAATGGTGTCAATGATTCAATTTAAGAAATATAGCAGATATAGATGGATGACTTTATTATATCTAAATGCTGGAATATGATCTTTGAATGTGCCCGTACCATTGATGAGATGTAAAGATATGTGTATGTGTGTGTGTGTGTGTGTTGGCACACGTCCGAATGTATACTTTTTTTTCCTATATTTTGGGAAATTTGTTGACATTATCAATAGTGATGAGTACAAATTAGCAATATGTTGCATATAGAGACACTACATACCAAGCCAGAAATTTTTCTTTCACTAAACTAAAGCTATGACTTTGCTGACTTGGTGATTATTTTGGTGTTATGGTGGTCAAATTAGTTACTGTTGGGGCAGAGCAGACTACAAATATTGCCCTTGATTCACGTGCATTCAATTAGCTTATTGGCTCTCATAGTTTGGATCTTTAAGAGGTTGATTAATTTTTTATGATTATTATCATGGTTTGTTTAAAGTGGTCCGTACACACCATCTATACGTCAGCACGGCAGATTTCATTTTCATTCTTGTAATTTTGAAAAAAAAGTTGTTAGCCAGTATTATTCTTTCCTGATTAGGAGGCTTCTTTTACTAAAGCATGCGTTTTGGTTTTCGTAAATTTTAATTGATTGTTTACCCATAATTCCAAAGTATTAGGATCTAATTGTTTCTTCACAGAAATGAAGAGGCCAGCCTATCATAATGTTGCATCAGGAGTGCCGGACCAATGGCCCATCAGGAAGGCCCTCACATTGTCTGACGTGGATATCACTCATCCATTTCTTACTTTGGCTCGCCAGCTAGTTGAAAATCATATTCTCGTGCATTTGATGCCTCAAGAACAGGAACGCTTGAGAGTTGAAGGTCAAGTAGATATTAATGCCCAGGATGACGATACCGGTGATATGCATGCCATGAAGTTGAAGTGGCGTGGGAGTTATTATAATCTCATAGGCAAGTGGGGGAAACTTGTTCGAGCCAAGGGACTTGACGTTGGGCAAGAGATTAAAATCCGCTGGATTAATGGGTGCTTGCACTTCTCGGTTTCACCAAAGCAAGTTGTTGCTGTACCACCACTGCGGATGGTTACAGCACCACTAGCGCAGGACCATTGGCCTGTTAAGAAAGTCCTGACACTGTCTGATGTGGATGCGAATCATCCGTTTCTCCCTTTGCCGCGCCGATCCGTGGAAGATCATATACTTGTGCATTGGACCCCACAACAGCGAGAAATATTAAGAAACGAAGAGCAAGTGAATGTGAATGCCCGAGATTACGATACTGGTGAGGTGTATGTGATGAAACTAAAGTGGCGTGGGAATTATTATAACCTTATAGGGAAATGGGGAACAATCGTTCGAATGAAGGGACTTGGTGTTGGGGAAGAGATCAGATTACGCTGGGCTAATGAATGCTTATACTTCTCAATTACACCGGAGCGGAGTGCAGCTGCAGCACCTGGGCAGGCCCTGGATCAATGGCCTATTAAGAAGGCACTCACATTGTCTGATGTGGACACCAATCATCCATTCCTCACTTTGCCTGGAAAATCAGTTGAAGATCACATTCTCTTTTATTGGTCACCACAAGCACAGGAACAGTTGAGAAACGAGAATCAAATAAATGTTAATGCACGAGATGATGACACTGGTGAGCTGTATCTGATGAAGTTGAAGAGGCGTGGGAGTTATTATAATCTCATTGGAAAATGGGGCAAAATTATTAGAGGGAAGAGACTTAATGTGGGAAGGGAGATTAGGGTACGCTGGGAAAATGGGTGCTTGATATTCTCAGTTCCACAATGATAGCTGTACTGATTGTATTAAGGTAGAAGATTGACCAAAATTAATTTCTTTCATGAGTTGGCATTTACTGGTTCATGAGGTAGAAGATTCACCAAAATTAATTTCTTTCATGAGTTGGCGTTTACTGATTCATGAGGTAGAAGATTCACCAAAATTAGTTCCACAACGAGAACATTTTTTTTTTATTTTTAAAATTCATTGAGTTAGTGTTTACTGGTTAATACAGCTCTTATTTTGATTCTAATTTAAGGCTATAATTTTTTTATTGCATAAGGATTCATAAAATATGGTGGAGATGGCCTGAGAGGGCCCTACAACATATCTTTGAACTCCAGTGAAATAAGGCTTATTGGAGCCATAAATTTAACAAGGTGAAGTAACATAGCCGATATTTGCTTTCTAGAATAATCATCTAAAAGAATAATTTCTTCTTTTTCCATTTCTTTCTTTCTCTTTTGTTTTCCCTTTATTTGGGGTGGGTGTGGGTTGGGGGATAAATTTGTTGGATCTCTATAAACATCAGATGAATTTATTTAGATTGAGTTCTATTTGTGCAGGGGCAATATAACAGATAGCTTCAATCCCATGCAGGGGAGATAATTGTGTGGTGGATATGCCTGTTTTTAATGTTCTTTGCTTTTTGAATTTGTTGAAGTTTCTTGTTTTTGACTTTAAGGACTTCAAAAGCTTGGAATATCAAGTCCCCCCCCCCGAGTCTATTGCATTATCGAAAGCTTCATGTTCGTAGAACTGGATTGAATCATCTTAAATGTCATTTATTTTTAGAACCCACCCCCAGATTTTAATCATTCGGCAACTACAAATGACTCTTTGTCAAGTTAATTCTCTTTCAGGGAACTATGTTGTAGCTAGTGCTATCCATTGGTTTGGCTCAAGATTTTTCTCAACTTTGGAGAAGCTCCCTTGAGCCTCACCTGAGAATGAATTAAATTTCATATCAGTATGGCTGTTCAGGGGGGTGCTTTACACACTTGGAGATGATCCTCCACCTATTCGTTGGCCATTACCAATAATCTTAGCTGTAGGAACATGATTGTGGCATTTGCTCTTTGTTTCTTGAAATCATAGTATTTGACATCGCATTTATGCCCTTGTGATCATACAAACATAATGAGCATATGTTTCAGGGCTTAATTTGTACTATTGAATTGCACTTATTTCCTTTTATATGAACACAATAATGCTTATGCACTATGATTTGATGTTTTTGATGTGCAGCTCTCTTGGATCTTGCTGTGTCTTCCATTTTTTGAATTTCTGTATGTTATCTTTTCCATTATATAAGAAAAAAACAGAGAAAGAAAAAGGAAGAACACTGCTTTTGAATATTGTGATCATATTGCTTCTGTTGGAGGCAGTATTTGATGAAGCAAATGGCATATCCTGTCCTTAGGTCGCTTTTGTTGGACACCGAGTGTGGTACTAATTATCTAGTATCTGTCCCTCTTAGACCCAGTCCCTCTTGTTCCTCTTCTGCTCTCTTGTCGCTTCTGGAGTTCATGGTCCTGTTGGTCTTGAATGGTCATGAAAATATTCTGGATGCTTAAATATCCACCAATGTTCTCGTTAAGACTAAGCATACGCTTCTGTAGTTATATGCTTGCACCTTAAAGTATTTTTTAGTTCCGAATGTGAATGGCCGTATATTTATGCTGCTAAGCAAGCACTTCACTTGCTTTGCTTATACTCGAGAGCATGGAACTGTTTTAAGTAATTAAGGTCGTGTGTGGATGTTTCAAGCAAGAAAGGATGTCAATGCAGCTGTTTCAGCATCTTTCACAGCTCAAGCATCTACCCATTGTCCAAGTGTGTATTTCCCATTGAACTGTGGTGTACATCCTGAATTTGTTTGTTTCTAAGTGCATAAAACGGGTGTGTTTGCTCTTCTTCAGCGTGGGTTAACTCTCCAAGTCCAACCATATTAGGCTAGTTCTTGTTGGTTTAATTTGCTTTCGTCTATCTCATTAGATCAAATCTTATCATGTTTGAGTTGTGTTGAACTTCTCTTAAATCTGTTGGATTGGCATGAAGAATTGAAGTTATTTCGAATGTTCTTTATGGTATGAGTTGGTAGTTTGGAACTCTTGTGTGATGTGTAATTTATTTTCATCGACTTGCCACTGATCATCAAAATTTTTAGTTTAAAGTTTCTTACATGCCATTTCAGTTTTACTGTGTCTGTTAATTTATGTTCATTGGTCCCTTCAGATTAAAGAAATGTCATTATTGCCTACTTTATCACATGTTTAAGTGTGTCATTGTGAAATTCTCCTTTACTATCTGTTTCTTTGCTGCATTATTATATGGTTTCTCTGTTTTACTTATTCAATATACGACCCAATGCAGTGTAACTACCCAAAATTATTTATTACAAACCTTCCTATGGCTCTGGCAAGGTCTCTATTATATAAATTTAATGCTGAACTAAAATCAGTGTTTAACTTGACCTTTGTGTTCTTGGTGGCCTACCAGAGACTCATCAGCGTATCCAAACTGTTCCACATAGACAAATGAATCAGTTCTCGTCATGCTAGCTTACCTCCTAATTTATTATCGATTAGAACCTAGCTCTGCTTTGCTATCTCTCTCTGTCTCTGTCTCTCTCTCTCTCTCTCTCACACACACACACACATCTAGATTCCGAACTAGCGAAATGTTTTCTTTAAGGAAGGAAGAATATTTAAGCTAATTGATCTTCCTCTGGAATTCTGCTCAATTGTTTTCCTAAGCAGTGGCCTTCAACCCTACCTGATCCATGGCCCATGTTCGGGGTTATTCCTTGTGGTATAATGTTTTGCAATTATTTGAGTCCATTTACAGCTTTTTAGATGACTCAATGCTTATCTTGAAATTGTTTCAACGCCATAAATTTGCAATCTAATGCGAATTTTCTTCTGAAAGGATCTGATTGGTTTGCCTTGTGTACATACAGATGAGACTTGCTTCTTTTTTTCTTTTCTTTTTGATATAATGTCCAACTGTTTTAGAAATGTCATGTTTTGGATTGATACAATTGATGCCTTTTGCTCTCTGATTTGATGATTTTAAATTCTTATGAAAAGAATCACCCAAAAAGTTTTGAAAATTCTGTCTGTGTTTTACCCTGGAATGTATTGCTT